TCCGGGTTTTCTACTGCAGGTCCCGCAGTGACAAAGCCCCATTCCCCGTTTCTTTGGTTTTCCAGGAATTCTCCCTTTTCCCCTCATTTTTTCCCCAATTTTATCCCCTTTGCCTCACCAAAATTCCCCCACCCCCTGATTTTTTCACCACAAAAAAGCCCTTTTCACCCCATTTCTATTTATTTTTTTCAGCAAAGAGCCCTTATCACCCTTTTTTCCCCAAAAAAAGTGCCCTCATTTCCTCGTTTTTTACAGAACAAAACAATTTTTAAGGAAATATTTTGCTTAAGGAAAAAACTTTTCCCCCCTTTGTTGGGGTTTGGGGGGTTTTTTGAGGTAAAAAAATTAAATTTTTTATTCTGTTAACACCAGGGCTTTATTTTAGGCGGGAAAATCTCTTTTTTCCTCCCTTTTTTCCCTTTTTTAAGGAAAAAAACCCTTTATTTGCTTTTATTTTAAGGAAAAAACCTCTCATTCCTCATTAACCTGTTGGGATTTTTTTTCCCTCAGGAAAAAATCCCTTTTCTGCTTTGATTTCCCCCCCCCAAAAGTGTCTTTATTCCCTGTTTTTTGGGGGAAAAAAAGCCCTTTCTGCCCGGCTTTTCTGGTTTTTCTCCCCCAAAACGCCGTTATTCTGGGTTTATTTCATGCAAATGCCCAATTTCCAGGGCTTTTCCACACAACCCCCCCACTTCCTTTTTATTTCCCCCCCCAAAATCACTTTTATTTCAATTTCCTTGCCAGAAAAAAACCCTTTGTTTCAGAAAATCGCCTTTTTTTAGGAAATAAACCCGTTTTTTTCACCAACCCCCACCGTCATCTCTCTGGTTTTCAGCAAAAAGCATTTTAGCAACTTTTCTTCCAGAAAATGCCAATTTCGGTTTTCTTCCCTGCTTTGCACCCAAGCGCCCTTAATTCCCTGTCTGGCGTAAGGGAAAAAAACACCCAAATTTCCAATTTTATCCCCCCCCAAAATCCCTTATTGCTGATTTTTTTTTTTAATAAAAAACCCTGGTTTTTTATAAAAAACTATTTTTTAATTTAAAAAAAAACCTGTTGGCTTTTTTTTTATAAAACCCCTATTTTTTAAATTAAAAACTCTGGTTTTTAAATAAAAAGCTATTTTTTTAATTTAAAAACCCCTGGGTTTTAATAAAAACTTTTATTTTAATAACCCCCCCCTCTTTTTCAATAAAAACCCTACTTTTTAATTAAAACCCCCTGTTTTTTAATAAAACCCCTATTTTTTTAATAAAAAACACCTGGTTTTTAATAAAAAAATATTTTTAATAAACCCCTCTATTTTTAATTTAAAACCCCTGTTTTTTTAATAAACCCCACCTTTTTATTTTAAAAATTCTGATTTTTTAATAAAAAACCCTGTTTATTTAATAAAAAAACATATTACCTGGGGGTGAGGGTGGTGGGGGGGAGCATTTTTGGGTTGGTTTTTGGTTTTTTTAGCAGTGTCCTTATCACCTCTTCAGTTTTTTTCCCTATTTTTTCCCCAGAAAAAAACCCAATTTCCCCTTTTTTCCACCCAAAACCCCTTCTCCCCGGTCAGTTTTGTGCCTCAACTGCCCCGGCCCAGGTTTGGCCAAGGTTCCCCATGGCTTTGGGGTTTAAAACCCAATAAAATCAACATTTCCCACCTGTGCCTGACGCAAAATCGCCCATCCCTGTCATTCGGGGGGGGGTGTTAATTAGTAAAAATAAAAAATTAATGCCCAAATTATCCGGTTTCTGGGGGTTTTTTTTCCTTAAGAATTAAAAAAAAGCTTTTTTAAACCAATTTTGCGTCAGGGGTTGGGGTTTTTTTCAGGAAAAAGCCCTTTTCCCCCATGTTTTTGTACCATTAAAACCTTTTTACTTTGGGGTTTTTTTATTATTTTTGTAGTTTTGGGGTTTTTTTCCCCCTCCCCCAAAAATAAGCCACCTTATTCCCCGCTTTCTCAGGAAATAAAATTTAAAAGCCCTTCTCAGCTGTTCTTTTTTGACCCCCAAATCAAAAATATTATCGCCCGCCACACCAAATATGTCTCTGTTTTAATTTTCCTTCCCAAAAAAACCCTTTTAACATCAATTTTTTATAAAAAACCACAGAATTTCTCAATATTTTTAGGAAACAGCCCCACGCCTGGGTGTGTTTTTCCTAAAAAAAAAAAACAAAAAAAAGGGGGCATAAGGGGGGAAGAAGGGGAAAAAGGGGAAAAAGGCTAAAAACCACACCTTACTACACTTTTTTAATTGGTTTCATTGGTTTTTTTTTAAAAAAAACCTTCCTCTTTCTGAGTTTTTTATCAAAAATCCAATTTATTTTCACCAAAAATCCCTCGTTGCTCATTTTCTTCTCCCAAAACCCCCAAATTCCCCATTTTTTTTCCCCAGCAAAACTCTTCTTTTCCTTTCCTTCAGCAACAAAACCCCTTTTTTACCTCTTTTTAATGCCTTTTTACTGCAAATTTTGGCAGCAAAATGAGAAATTTCTTTCCTGTGGAGTTTTTTTGGGGCTTCCTACGGCAATTTATACACCCAGAAACCCCTTTTTTCCCACTTTTTTCCCCCCTTTCTGCTGCTGAATTCCCTTTTTCCTGCATTTTAGTCTTTATTTTTTATAATTTATTAAAATTCCTGCAAACCCCCCCCCCTTATTAGGGG